ATATGAATTACAATATGTAAAAATAAAAAAATTATGGATGCAGTAAAAATGTTAAATAAATTAACAATGTTTAAACGGAAATAAATTATTCTTACACTCGATAATTTGCAAGCATTTCAATCTATTTATTTTAATGCACATATAGAAACAAATGATTATAACAATCTCTAATAATAAACCAAATATTTTTATGTTTTGTCCATTCTATTACTATATATGAAAAATGTGTGTTATATATGTTCTTTGATTTATTTTTAACTAATATGATTTTTTTTTTTTTGGAATCCATAACATTGTAACTTTTTAAATATAACCTAAATGAAATTAATGGTTTGTAGAAAAAAAAAGAAGTCGGTGCGCTTGTAATCACAAAATAAGAGACTAGTTTTTTCTGGAAAGTTCAGTAGAATAACGACACATATAAGAAAAGCACAAGCTGCTAATCCAGAAAAAGCACCAATATGCACTTTGTTTTTACTATTTAATAGACATCTCAATTACAATTTTTTTTGGAAAATATAAACTAAGTCTAATTATAATTCATGGAGCATTTATTCGTTGTCTTTTTATACAATATTATAAAATTAGACATTATTAACCTTATAATGACATATATTGATAAATACTCAAAACTTTATTTGTAACTAAAATAGAACTGTTGTAGATTTTACTAAAAAAAGTTTCTATAAAAAATCCATTTCATCAAAATCGAGAAATTAAATATATAAAAATTCAAATGCACACAATAACAAACAATGTTGTCTTACTATCAAAGGGAAATATGTAGATATACACACACACAAATAATAACTTACATAATAAATTTTATTTCATTTATCGAGAACAAGGAATGACTCCTTTTAGCATTTGGTATTTTATTTGTGATTGTACAGTGTACATAAATTTTTAATGAATATATATATTATATTACTATTTAATTTTAAAATATAATATTTGGGTTTATAGTCACCTGTGATGTATGTATTAACTTGATGAAAATGGTACAAATTATTTAAATTCATAGTTTCAAGTTCAATTATATTTATATTTTCAAATTTTATTATTACGAAAGATTCATCTATTTGCTTTTAAACATCACTAATGATACGTTAAAACCTGTTATTTTGTGTCATTTTTAAAGATTATTATTTTAACATATTTAAAACTAATAATCCAATGTCACGACATGAACAAATTATATTCAGTGGATTAAGTGTTTATATACATATATAAAAATTGTTTACCTAATTATATATTTAATGAAAGAAAAGAAAAAAAGTACTGTAATAACAACAAATGTCTAGGCCTTCAAGTGTAACCGTTGCATATGAAAACCAATATTGGGATACTCATCGTTGTTTGGATAAATATGTTGATATTTTACGCGAAATTGAATCTATAATTAGAGATTTCTATAATAAAAAACCTCATAATTTGGAGGAATGCAAAAATATACTTGAAACTGCAAAAAATAAAGAAAATGAATTAAAAGAATGTTATGATAAAAATCTTTTAACTCTCTATTTAAAGAGTTCTCAATACGTAAATACTTTTTATAAAAAATGTGAACAACAACATAAAGATCCTAGAAGTCCCTTAATTCCTTCAAAACATTCCTCTGAAGGAGATCTAGAATCAAGTCAAAACAGTACTAAAGTAGAGAAAGCAAAAGGAGATGAAACACTTCAGTCACAACTTGTTGTAGGAACATCTGATGGTCTCGATATGATTCAAGATGGAGTATATGAAACAATATCTGCTACTAATCCGAGTTCCCATGAATATATACATTCTCCAAAACAACCATCATCTTCTTCAGACCATTCCAAATCTACTGGCTTACCTCTTCACCAAAGAGGAACTTCATCACAATTAAGTCCTGCATTGGTACCTCACAAAGATGACACCCCTGTGGAAAATACAGTACGTATACATCATAATCAAAGTGATATACCTACAAAGTATAGTGTGTATGATTCTCGTGATGCTCAAAATGTTTATGGAAAAGATGTTAAAGTTGAAGATCTTAAAATTAAATTTGTTCTTCCTCAGGCTCTTGATATTGAAAAACATAATCCTAGGATTCGTGGAAATGATGATTCTGATGGTAAAGATAGTTCTGATAATTTTTCTACTGATAAACCTAATGAACATGAAGGTGTTCATTATGGCACTGATATTTTTGTAACCAATATTGGGAGGCTTTCTTTTGATAATACTCCTGTTAATAAAGAAGCTGGTGCTAAAAGTATATATATTACACAATCTCCTTCACAAAAAAGCACTAAATAAGTAACTATTGAAAATTCTTTTTATTTTAAAGTAGATGAATCACTAGAAGGCACTGCAGGAAACCATAACCTATGGGAACTTAATTATAACAATATTCATCTTGGAGGCACAGGTAATAAAGAAATAGAACATAGAGAAACAGGTATCCCCCTCTCATATATGCACATATAGTACCAACTTCATCTTCAAAAAAATTACATTATCCCCCGAAAATTATATCCCATGTAGAGTATACATCTGCGTAATAAAATTTACATATTTTTTCAATTTATTATTAAATTAATACGTAAAACCATAATACAATTCCTAATAAATATAATATTTTTAATTATTCTGAAATACATACATCAGAGGGTCCAACTTTTATAAATTCGCCTTCGGATGCAGGTGATAAAAAGATAACTGTAGATAATGCTTCCAACGGATCGTATGATGAAGACCGAGGATTGACATATAATAAATATATCATAATAGCTTTAGTTCCATTAGCAATTATTCTTTTATTATCACTTCTTATAAAAGTAATCTAAAATTTAATGCATTAGAAGAATAACCCTTTTATTAATTATTTAAAACACTTAATTCGCAATAATATATATATTACTTTTATTTACAGTATGCTCCTCTTATGATGTTTTCTAAGAAGAAAAAAAGGAAATATAGAAAACCAATGAGCGAAAGATTACAGAAAATACTATTTGGTCCTTCATTCAAAAGAGAAAGGAAAAATGTTCCTTTTTCGTATAGCCCTTTTGAATATTAAATATAATAATGTATATGAATATTAAAGTGCTTATCATGGGTGTGTTTAAATAATCATTGAATGAGATAAAAACTAATATTTTATTTAGTAATTTATTTTTAATTATTTTTACTTTGTTAAATTAACGTAGAATTGTTATCAAGGCATTATTAAATATTTATAATTATAAAAGAGTTATAAGAGAACTTGGATTGCACTATTGTAATAGTAATACAAAAATATATAATATTGTATTTGTTTCTAATTTTACGTGTGTTATGATTTTTTTGAAAATTTCTTTAACCATTTATATAAGAAAACGCACTTGATCTAATGCATGCATGTATATGAAAATAAAGTATAATTTTTATGAACTTGATGATATTTAATTATTTTTTTAGTCAAAAATTATAGTAGAATAAATATTTTTTTTTTATTTGAACAATAATTTTTATTTTATTTCACAAGTTGAAAACAAATATTTCATAAAAGCATGTAATCATTTATTTTAAAACAGTTTGTACTTTATAACCTTATATGATAATTTCTATGGCTTCAGCCTTTGTGAAAAAATAGGATATAAATCATATACCAAATATTAATACGATCTTAAATGAAACTTTCTCTTATAATAAGAATAATGAGTCTCAGTGTAATATTCGCTTAATAATTTATATAATAAGTTTTTTACAATTTTCAAATTACTAATCATTAAGTATGGAGTATATATACCTAATTATGTTAATAAAAAATGTTCTGAATATATGAACTATTAGGTAAATAATAATTTATAATTACATGTGAATTTTGAAAATATAATATTATAGTGGTTACAATCATTGAATAGTTCTTACTAGATATATTTATAGTTACACTTTATATATGAGCTCTATTTTACTCTTCATCTCGGTGGTATTATTAATTATTGTAAGAAAGAATATATTTTGTACTATATATATACATAAGAGGAGTACATTAAAATAAATTCAGCATAAATATATGTAGCAGTGTTTATATAATATATTTCTTCATTTATATTGATTGTTTATAATATATACACGTTATTTGAAGGAATAATATAGAATTATATATTTTTCCATTTTTTTCTTTTTAATTTATTTCACGTGAGAAATATTTTAATTTATAATGAACACATTAAATTATTCACTAGTTCGTTATAATTAATGAAGTCTAATGAATTAATGTTACATTTGTGTACAAGCATAAATAAAATAAATATATAATATATGTTAACACATTTTATTGATTATTCGCACGATCAATTAACCCATGGTTTTGTTTGTTATACTTTACTATGGTTGCATGCATAAGTGTGCCTATAGTAGCTAATAATTTATATGTTATTAATTTGAGGTAAAGCTGAATTTAATTTGTATAAAAGAACTAAATATTTTTATGTAATTTAAATTTAAAATGATAACTTAAACAAAATATTAATTCCAATGTTATTATATAATTGCCAAATTATATGCATAAAAAATGTAACATTAAATGTCTAACTGTGAAAACGTATCGAATATAAATAAATTATATGTTTATATATATTTTTTGTAGTTTATATATTCACATGTAACATAAAAATTCCTATATAAAATATAAATTAACATAGTGAATGTAAAATTATGTGAAAAATGAAAAATACCTTAGATTAAGCAATAAATATATTCTACTATATATGAACAATTCAAAATGTGACATTAATACATTTTGAGCTTCTAATATAAGTGTTACATTACATATAAATATATTGTAACAAAGTATCCTTTCATATTTATATAAAAGGCATAAAATTAAGACATACGGATATTTTCCAAGAACAAAAATCTATTTTATTTTATATTATTACTAATTCTTTTAATGAAGACGCATTTTGTATTATATCAGTACATTGATCATTGCAAATATATATATATTTTTAATAGCTAATTTCCATAAAAAAAAATGAAATTTTTTTTTTTTATAGGATAAAGTGGAGATATATATAGATTACATATTTACTGTATAGAAGAGTTTAATATGGTAATTTCTATATTTTTATTAACGTGTATTTGAGGGGGATATATACATTTTTTTTGTCAATAGTATATTAATTTACATTAATTTAACTACATTATAATAATGTTTTATTATTATTATTCATAATAATCATTCAGTTTATATATTAATCAAAAGAGATGTTGATATAAATAAGTGATATATATTATGTTTCGTATAAAAGGAAAATAACAAAATAATAAATACAAGCATTATATAACTATTTCTATTTATATCAAACTTTTTAAATCAGTTAAAAATGCACATATAAATATGCTATGATGTGCTATTGAATTTTTTAATATAATGTCAACATAATTTATGATATCATATTCAGAAATTGTTGTATTCCTGATATAAAACAATAATATGATGAATGTCTCGTTTTTTAATCAAAATAATAAATTAGTTCATACGTTATTTTTTTCTTTATAGCGTATGTTTAAATTTTGTTGCCATAATATAAACGAATGAATGAATAGAAAAATTTTATGTATATGCAGAACTAAATATGATTTAAGAATTATAGAATTATATAAAATTTATATGTAATCCATGTGATTCCAATGAGATACTTGTTCATATATTTTTAACATATATATTATTATAATAAAAAACAGAAAATACAATTTTATCAATTTAACTACATAAAACATAATGAGTTCCACTATAAATGTGCCAGATGATGTAGGATTATAGTTTTTACTAAAATTATTATTCATGTATCACTATACTATAATATCACTGGTTATAAAAGCCAAATAAATAGGTTTCCTTGGACGTATCATTTTATTTCTTTTATACATATTAACTTTCACTTTTAGTTAGATTTTAAGGACATATTTCCCACGTGCTATGGTGAGTATAGAAATGCTATGAAAAATAAATCAAACATTGAGGCTAGGTCTTATACAAGTTTGTGTAATAGAATTAATAGTTTAGTAGGGGCGGATGATTTGGGGTTTATTTTGCCTTGTCAAGTGATAAGTCTCTATTTAGAAAGAATAAATAGCAACACCATTTATCATGATAAAAGACCATGTTGTATATATTTTAACTACAAATTAATTTCTGAACTAAAAAGACATAATTGTGATTGTGATAAAGCAAGTGATTGTTTTGATAAAATGATAAATGAATTTGCAGGAGGTAAAAAGTTATCTGGTGTATGTAAGGGTTATATAAAAGAGCTTGAGGGTGATATACTTAACATATTGGATAAAATAAATGGACTATATGACAATTTTGAAGAATTAAAATTAAATTCTAAAGAAAATTGTGAATACGCTAGGAAGTGTGTTACAAAATATAGAGATTTATTAGAAATATGTTATAAAGGGAATAACAAAAGATTTTGTGGATTACTAGAAATATTTAAAGATGAATATAATGATCACATGAAAGATAAGTCTGCATGCTATGATGTTCCAAAATTTTTATATTCCTCCTATGGTATATCTAGGTGGAAGGTCGTTTTAGCTTCATTTATAGTAACTTTTGCAATATCAATAACTATATTAATTTTGTATAAGGTTAATTATCATTCTATATTATAAAATTAATGTTGCATTTTAATTTATATAAAATATGATTGTAGAAATATATATATCGGTAAAATGTCGTATATATAAAAGTAAAATTTTGTTTCTTACTATCAGTATAACATTTATGATTTATATTTACAACCAATGGTGAAAAAGTTAAAGAAAATCTGGAAAACAAAAAAGAAAGAACAACTTAAATTAATTGAATCATTTGAACATATATGCAGAAACTTAATGGATGGAATATACAGAATAGAATATACCCAAGTAGGATACTAATAAATATATACTCTCTGTTAACGATTTCAGCAATAGTTATTTTTATTTAGTATTATTAATCTAAAAATGGTATATTTTTAGTAACGATGAAATAATTCTGCAAGCATAAATATTATAAAATTATTACAAAATATAACTTAAATGTTCTTTTATTTATGACAATAAATTTCAATTTTTTTATATATCCTCAAATAATCAACTGCAGTTATAATAATAATAATCTAAAATGTGTGAATATCAAAATCTATAAATTTGAATTGTAGATCATTAAATATTATAAATAAAAATGTAAAACAATATATGATATAATTTAATACAAGATCTCTGACCATATAATATCATTTTTCCAGTATAATGGTTCCTTATCATATGTGATAAAAGAAGAAATTAACTTACGTATTAAATAAAAATATAAAATAATACATAGCACCATGGCCTTTAGCCTAACATAAGCTAGTGTACTACAAGAAAAAAAAAATTAAAAAAAAATTATCTATTTTTATAATTACACTTTGAATAAACATATTTATGTGTTGATTAGAATAATGTTTAAAGAACAATATATTTACCTAATTAAATAGTAATTCAACATAAATAGAGATGTAGTATTGTGATAGGATGACAATGAGAAATATATTATTATAACAATTTATGGAATTATGAGCCCTATATATACAATATTTTAATAGTAATTAACAGAACATGTACATATGAAACAAAGAAGAGGAAATATATTTATCAGTTGTTATATAATTCCTTTAAAGAAAACTATAATTACATTATAAATAGTATATAGGTGTATAAAAATATATTATAATATGCATTAGACAAATGAATATAATTCTTAAAATTTTAAACATACATTTTAATGTTATAATAATTAAGAATAATATATATACATTCGATATAATTACAAAAAAATTTTATGAGAATTTTTCTTGAGATATATATTATTTTTTTTGTAATATTTATAATTTAAATATATGTAATACAATTACAATATATGAAACTAACAAAAAATATTAAAATATTTATAATTATTCTATGTGTAAACAGGTTTAATACATATAAATTTGTCCCTGTTTAAGTGATAGTTTTTTTTTTTTTTTTCAAATGCCTAATAAAGCATACAGATTTTTATAAGCATAATAACTAAACATAAATTATATACATATAGAAAATATACTTTGACTAATTCATAATAACAGGATTAACATTAATATATATATTTCCCTAAAATATTTTAATAAAAGTAATATCTATTGTACATAACACATGCTCTGCGAAACACATACATAGTTAAATTTCAATAAACTAAATGGACAACAGATATACACACAGTTTATTATTTTAACACTATTTTAGAACCTCTTTTATAATATATTTTTTAATTCATAATTATATATAGTTTTACTATTTGTTATTGACATGCATTTTATTAGCCCAACGGAAATATAGTTAGCTTTACATTTTCTTTTATTATATTATTTCATTGTCGTATGCATGAATGCCACATAAGTGTAAAATATTTTGCATCACTAAAGAATTTCAGTTACCTTATTGATTTTATTTGATTTACGGTTTTTTCTTCACTTATAAATAAATTTTTTTTTTTATTTTGTAAATTTATATATAACTATAAGCATTATAATATACGAAAGCAAATTTCTTATAATATTGTATTTATGTATTTCCTTTAGAAGAAATACATTATATTTACAATTACAATAAAATTGTTTTGGACAACAAATTTAATATGATACATATGTATAATATAAAATAATGAAGTTAAGCATTTAATTAATTTCTTAATTTTTTGATGTATAATGTTATTTCATTTAATAATGTATGAACTTAATATTTTTGATCCTATAATTGTGTAGTTATATAGAAATATCGTGAATAAATAAATTTTCACAATCAGACAAAAGGAAAAACAAAAAATTTAAACTGTTCAAAATACATGAAAAATGTATATTGTATAAAACAAATAATATTTGAGATTTTGAAAAAAAGTTGGCAAAGGAAATAAGAGAATTTTATTATGTTGCCACTTCATATAATACAAAAATGAATGACATAATATGTTTTTTTAGCCAGTTCGAAGAAAATACATGTGTATCATTTTATATGAGGTTACACATATAATCCTGCTCAAGAATATAAGAAAAAAAATTGCGCCTATAATATATATTTTTACTTATGGTTATTTAACTTATATTATTACATAACCATTAAGTAATAAAAATACATGTATTTATGTGTTTCTTTTTTTAGCTCTTTATTTAAATAGTTGCTTACTTAAATAAAAATATTCATATTATTAGTCTAATTAAAATATATTTGGAAACAGTATTATTTTAATTTGAACATTATTAATTATATTATATAAATGTTCCGAAATTACTTGAATATTATTTTTCTGTATTATGAAAAAATTATAACTATTTCATACCAGCTTTAATGCAACCTATCATTAGCAGAAATTATAATAACGTATATATCTGCATAAGAATGGACGCTATAATATTGTAATAAAGACTTATAATAAAACATATGATAATATGTGAATATACTTCAATATTCTTATTATATCACAACAAATATTATATTCTCTATAATACAAGATATTTTTGCGCACAATAAATAATTATTTTTTATTTGAATAATATAACTATTAGAACCTTACTATATATATATATATAATATTATACCATAATTTCATAAATATTTAATTAGAAAATTATATTCTTTAAATTTTTTACAAATAAATGAAATAAAATTTGTGCTTATTAGTTACGATTTAACATATACATTCATTCTGTATATACATAATGGAAATTAAACTCAGCACGATCGCATCAAATCATGAAACGTAATAAATATTATATAATATTATACATAATTAAATAGTAATAGCATGTTCCAATAGTAATTGTTTCACAACGATGCAATTATATACAATATGCACTATTTAGTTATACGTAAGGCAAGAGAGATTAATAATATTTTTTTTAAAAAACGTTTTTAAATGATTTAGCATAATTCAAATAAAAAACATTACAAAAAAGGTAAAATATTTATGAGAGTATATAAAAAATACAGAATCGTTACGAATAATTCATTAGAAAAGAAATTACTAAATTACATTAATTATAAAAATTAAGATTCATGATTAACACTATTATCATAATAATATTTTAATTATTTTGGCTCATTAAATGATAAAAATTAATAAAAGTAATAAATGTAAACAAATAAAATACTTATATAATAATACTGGCATTTATAATAAAATTGAATTAGAAAAATAATAATAACCTTATAATTTTTTTTAAAAAATAATTTATTACAATATATATTTTTTCTTTTAGGGTTTATATATTAAGATTAAATAATGAAAATACATAAAGAATTATAATGTATTGCTATACTAAGGAACATGTGAACATTAATAATCATATTATAGCATTAACCGTATTACGTAAATACTATATAATAATTAATATATATTTAAAAATAGATCAATAATAGAGTACAACATTTATTATGCGATGATAAATAAAAATACTATTCTGCCGAAAAGTATATATTTTCCCAAAAAATATAAATAATCCTATACAACAAAATTATAAATACTATCCTTGAAGATTCTCCCTTCTACCATTAAATAGCTTGTAGAACACTTGTCTATTTCATAGTTACCTTATGTTGTACAAAAAATGTATAACTAATTAAATATAATAAAAAAAATGTGATATAAAATTTATCATTTTAATTCTTTAATTGATAATTTCTATTTCTGTATTATTCTTATGTTGTATAAGAGTTAATATATTTACGTAAATTTTGTAATATCGTTAGTCAATATATATTTATGTAAAATTCTCCGCTAACATAATATATATTGATAAATTATATATATTTTTT